GAAACGCCTTTACCCTCTGAGCCGTCTTGTCAGCACTGTTCCTTGTTTTGCTCTTTCTTGAGAAAGGGTCTCTCAATGTAATCCTGGGGTGCCCTGAGCTTCTGTCGATTCCTTTTGCGGGGGAGGGTACTGGCATTAGGGGTGTTTACTGTTAAATTTCAAACCTGGGACAAAAGGCTGAGGTTTGAACATATCAAAGCGGACCTGGCCTCCAGCTTTTCCCAGCATCCCTCAGTCCCTACCTGTCAGAGGCATGGTTGGCATACCCTCCACCCCAACTCTCCAGCCCAGGGGCTGGGCTGCCCTTGTCCCAGAAGCTCTCCCTATATAATCCGGCCATTTTGGTTACCCACCCTTTTTCCCCTTTGCTCTCTTGGCTACTGCACCTGGGTCCCCTCTCCCCACGTGGCCCAGCTCAGTCATGTCCACTCTGGGCTCTCCCCAGATGTCCCTGCCTCTGAGTACAGTCTCCCACACAGCTACAATAAACCTCCTCCACCACACTTTTGTATTTCTTTTCCCATTCATTTACTACCATAACCATGTGGAATACCAAGCTTTAAGATTTTATGTGTTTGTTTCTGGTTAGTCTCTCATGTAACCCAGGATGGCTTTGAACTCCACATCCTTCTGGCTCCACCTGTCCCTTCTATGGATTGCTTGCTCCTTTACTGGGATCCTGGCCCCTATCTCTCAACTCCACTCAGTCACTGTCTGTGCCGCCTTTGGGCCTCCACCAATGACAGACACCTCCTCACAGACACCTGGAACTCTCTGTACCTTCTGTACTGAGCACAGCAGCCATAGATGCCTAAAGACAGTGGACTTGATCACTTTGTATTTCAGACTCCCAAGCAGGCTTGGTATACAGCAGGTGCTGCATAAATACCACACGGATCTAGTCAGTAGCCACTGTACTCATGCTCTCCCCCTTCCTAGCTTGAGGTGGCTCAGAGACCTGCTCACTCTGCCACCCTCCAGTCCCCAGCTATGTCTCTCAGCTTTGAAGCTTCAAGATGGGGGGAGCCTCAGGCCCTGGGCCCCTGAAGCACCACCAATCCTGCTCTGCCTGACCTGTCATGTGCCCCCAGTAGGGAATGACATTTATAGTGCTCGCTTTAGGATTTCATGTTAATTTGTTGCCACGTTGGAATCTCACTCACTAGAAGGGGAGACACTGTGATGAGACCCGGTGGCTAGGAGGAAAGCAATAGTCTCTGGCTGCAGGGGGTTACCACAGGGAAAGACTGGGGGAGGGGCAGACCAAACACCGACTCCCTGGGAAGTGCCACATCCACTTCCTGTTGGGAGGATGAAAGGTCCCACCCAGAGTTGATGTCTTTGGATAAGGCTGCAGACTGCCTCATCAAACACACTCTTTAGGGCTCACAGCCAACCTCCAGTCCCCAGAGACATGCTGGAAAACCCTATTAGCTGGAGGATGCTTCAGCAGCAAGGGTGCATGAAGGGTGTGGGCTAATTCGGGTTGACAACCTTCCGAAGAATCCCCCACTGGGGCACTGCCCTCCCACTCTGTCCAAGAGGATAAATCACACTGTCAGGTCTGATTTGGGACTCGGGCGATGGGCTGCGTAAAGCATCCATGTGTTCTGGCTTCAGAGGTCAAGGGCAGCCACAATCCCAAAGCCAGTGCTAAAAAGCCTAGGGACTTCATGAGAAACAGGGCTAGGAGACCAGCAGCTGTGGGTCCCTGGCACACACGAGAGAAAGTCCTGTTTTCTTTTGTAAAACTCCTGGCCCAAGCATCCGCTGCAAATTCCCATTGCCAGAAGACAAGCTCTGTTATATCCAGACATTGAGAGTTTGGAATTTGGTGAGGAAGGAGCACCCGTGGCAGCAGACAGTGGTAATGGTGGTAGTTATGGTGGGGCTGCGGCTGCGGCTGC